ATACTTCAATGGAGGAGTCATTCTCTCTCAAGGCAAATATATCAAGGATCTTCTCAACCGTACAAGGATGACAGATTGTACTCCTAATGCTACTCCTATGGTTCTCAAAGAAAAAGAAAATATGTCAAAACAAAATGGTGTAGATGCTACTTATTATAGAAGTATTGTGGTGTTCTTCAATACCTCACATTCACTCGGCCAGACATTCAACATGATGTCAATAATGTTTGTCAATTCTTCAACTCCCCCACAGAACTACATCTTAAAGCAGTCAAGCGAATTCTTCGCTACCTTAAAGGTACACAAGACTATGTCTTGCGGTTCATTTCTAAAAGTCCTCTCTCTTTGTATGCTTTTTCAGATGCGGATTGGACAGGTTGTCCCTTAACCAGAAGAAGCTCAATAGGTTTTTGTGCTTTCATAGGTGCTAATTGCATTTCTTGGTGTTCAAAGAAGTAACATACCGTTGCTCGATCTAGTTCAGAAGCAGAATACAGGTCCATGGCTTCCACTACAGCTAAATTAACTTGGCTCACTCTTTTATTACGTGACATTGGCATCCCTTTGCTTCATGCTCCACAATTATTCTGCGACAATCTTAGTGCTCTTCATATGTCGGTTAATCCTCTTTTTCATGCGAGGACAAAGCATATCAAAATAGACTACCATTTTGTTCGAGAAAAAGTAGCCATGGGTCACCTTGTCACACGGTTTGTGCCATCTTCACACCAAATAGCAGATATTCTCACCAAGCCCTTACCAAAGGCACCTTTTATTTTCCTTCGCGACAAGATGGGGCTCCACTTACACTTCGTCTCCAACTTGAAGGGGGCTGATAAAGAAGAAAAGCAAATTGATGAAACAAAATATTTCTTTGAAAGAAGGGAAACAAATATCACTGCATAAAATCAAGGAAATATTGAAAGGAATCATTATGATATCTTGCCTTTTTAGTTCTCCTTTCTCTTTGTATATAAGTCTGTCCTATCTTATGAAATATGCAGAATTGAATACAATAATATTAAGTTTATAAGGGTTTTTCAATTTCGACTTATGATTATGTTTTTAGGCTCTGTTTGGCAACACTAAGCTAGGAGCTTATAGCTTATTTTAAGCTACTAATAAGCTATAAGCTATGTTTGGTAATGTTCCCAAAATAAGCTACTAGCTTCCTAACTTTTTTTCCATCTTTACCCTTATTATTTTAAAGTAATGACATATTTTAACCTTATGAATTAAAACTCTTTCTCTTCCCCTATCCCAACTTTCACGTCAATCCCTTCCTTAGTCTTGTTTCCTGCTAAACAATTATGTTGAAACTTTAGCTTATTATTATTATTATTATTATTATTATTATTATTATTATTATTATTATTATTATTATTATTATTATTATTATTAATGTTATTTTTAAATTAGCAATATGGCTTCAATTTCAATTTGAACAAGGGCCGCCAACTAATGCTCAAGAGGCATTCAATCGTGCACATTCTTCTCTTCGAAGTTGTATTGAGAGATCGTTTGGAGTATTGAATAAGAGATGGAAGATACTTGCTAAAATGCCGCAATTTAGTGAGGAGACCCAAATTGATGTTATTATGGCCACACTTGCACTACATAATTATATTCGGAAGAATTCACAAAATGACATGAGGTTTAATGTGCTTGAGCAGTATCCAGATTACAGACCGCCCGATGAACTTCAAGATTCAAGTAGTAATATCTCCATCAACGAAAATTTAAGTCCCACCTCTATGGAGATGAAGGAGATTCGCAACAATATTGCTACTTCATTATGGGATGCTAGATCATGATCATGATAATGGTTTTATTTTAAAAAGTGTTTACTTTTTTTGGAAGAAGAAATGTTAAATTTTAATATGTAAACAAACTAATTTAAATTTTATGAAGATGTCATTTTTAGTCTTTTTACATTTATCAGCTTATCAAAAAATTAATTTTACCAAACACTTTCAATCATAACAGCTAGCTTAACAGCTCTTCAATTTTCAGCTCCGAATTTATAGCTTTTCAGCTTTCAGCTCCTAACTTATAGTTTTTCAGCTAGGTTTGCCAAACAGAGCCTTAGTCAAGAGTGGAATATGCGAAGAAGGGGAAGCCATCGTGGCAGTGGTAGTGGAGGAAGGCGGGTAAGTGTGGTTCACCATTCTAATGTGGACTCTATTTTAGAAAAGTTACATTTTTCTAAAAAGAAGGTTGTACGAATTATCTTGAACTAGCCCAAGATTTTTGAAGATATTTTGAGAAGATATTATCATTGATCAAGCAAGAATCATCAACAAATTATTTATTTAGATCAACTTATCATTGCACAACAAGATTGCAACAGTGTCAAAGATTTCATGCTGAGAAGATATATTACAGTCAATATCTGGAGGCTACAAGATTCAAGAAATAAATCAAGCAGCTATATAGGACTTTTGGAGTATGGACAGAGGTAAATTTTCAAATTTGCCTGATACAATAAGTTATCAGTAGCGTTTATTGTTGCAAATCAAGTTGACAAATCAGATCAGATGAACGATCCAGATTAAAAGTTCATCAACGGGCAAAATAGCTTATTCAGCTATATATGTCCAAGAAGACTTGAAGATAAATAGAGACTGAGCAATACAGCAAGATATATCCAGAGAGCAATTTATTGAGCTATTCACGTAGAATTCAAGTCTTAGAAAGATATTTATTTTCTTTAAACCTATCTCTACTAAGTGCACAGAGAGAGAGAGAGAGTAACAAGGAGTTGTGAAAACCCTGTTGAGTGTAGCTTTATGCGAGACACTCGAAGTTGCTATGTGTAGCTTTGTGCAAGACACTTAGAAGTGCTTGTGTAGCACTTGTGATTCATTATTGTATTTGGTTGAACAAGATGGTGAATTCGTTCCTTGGAGTGAAAGAAGAAGAGTGGATTAAGAAGATTACACCACCTCTGAACCACTATAAATTGTCTCTCACATTTACTTATTGCATTTACATTTTTTGAAAACCAAGGCCAACTATATTTCATTAGCCATATCAGGCAAAATAAATGGAGGTGGAACATCCCTCCAAGTGGATCGTGACAAACTAGCACTCACATGTTTAGCTAAAGTATGAGCCGCTTGATTCGCGACCCTAGAAATAAAACTAATCTGAGAACCAGGCATAGAAGAAAGCAAACGAATACATGAAAGCAAACTAAAACCAACATAGGAACGAAACGAGCTATTACTACTAAGACATGAAACAAGAACTGAGGAATCGCTGTAAACTTTAACCATCGAATAACCGTTATCCTTTAGCCATGAAAGGGCTTCGCACCTTATTGCATTTACATATTATTGCTTTGCATTGACTAACCCAGTTACTATTCACTGTTGATATTCACTCATCTGGTTTTAAGACTTCTCACGTGTGCATGCATCTTATACTCTCCATACATCATTCTTAGCATATTCTAAGTATTACCAAAGTGTTGCATGTGACACATCTCTTCAGTTTTACGTGGTTTTGTTTATAGCACTCTATTGTTCGATATTTTGCGTTGTGTACTTCAGGTCGGTAGAATTTGTTTTTACTTTGAGTTGAAATGACGAGTGTTATAAAATTTGAATTTGTTTAAAAATTCTATTCAACTCCCTCTAAATATTTTACCACTCAATCGGGACCAACACTAAATATTGGAAATACAATTTTAAGCAAATACTAGTAACATTAATATTATAATTATAATTAATTAGCATTAATAAAGTATTTGTATTTATGTCTTAATTATGCTAATATGATTATTTTAAAATTATAATTATAATATTTACAAATGGTGTTTGTTTTTTATCGCATTTATTATGATTCTCATATATAAGCAATAATTTGTTGGAGAACAAAAATAAATGAAGCCTAACATTGCATACATAAGTCCAATCCATAATTATATAAGGGGAAATTGTAATTTATGCTTATCTCTACTGGTAAGACAATTATAAAAGTCGTATCTCAATTTTAAGTGGTATGAATGTTGTCCCTGAATTCTCTGAACGTGTGTATATAGTGTCGATCCCATTTAGACAATTTAGAATTTAGGGGCAACATTTATAACAAGGATGGACAATATATACACACATTAAGACGATCAGATTTATATATACCACTTAGAATTAAGGGATGATATTTATAATTGACCTACAAGAGATGAACATAAATAAAATTTTCCATCATATAATTTAATTAAACCCGCCTATTAATTACTATTATATCAACTAGTTCGTTCATTAAAGAAAAAAAACTAAGATTATGACATATAAGAATTTTTTTATTTTTTTTAAGGTGATCTTCATTCATTGAACATTAAGAAGAACATTAAACGATGAATAGGAAAAATAAAAAAATAAAAAGAGTTTAATTTACTTGTTGTAATAGAGTTAGTAGCATTAAAAAAAATATGAGGGTAGGTAAACATAAAGATGTAAAAGACAGTATGGAATTAAATGATATAAAAAAAAATGAACGAGTCCTAATATTAATTAATAACAAAACTGAAACTATTAGAAGAAGAATTAAAAACATAACTGAAATATAATTATTAGACCATTATGTGATTCACCTAAACATCATTAATTGAATAATTGCCTAGTACGTCTGTTACAAACTAAAATGTATTTGTTACGTTACTATAATTCATTAATTAATGGAAATTTGTTGAAATTGATAGCGATAATTTTTTTTTTTTGGAAAGGATAATGTATAATTCAAATATTATATCATTGATCAAATTCATCATACATTGTGGACTTTGGTCCAAAATGACATTTAAATTATGTACCTATATTTAACGTATTATGTATCTTCAGTTACTAAATTATGTACACATTACAATATAATTAACATATTCTGTACAATCTGTTAATAAATTTTATATATATATATATATATATATATATATATATATATATATATATATATATATATATATACATATTATAATTAATATAGCAATTACATACAGCATGGCAATTACAGAGAATTATCATTCTCAATGGCTATCTTTACTGATATGTGCGTTGGTTTTACTACAAACTAGAGCCATTGTAAACATTCCTTTAACGTTTCCTGAAAATGCCAAGGCTATGGGAGCTTTGTGCCTTGATGGAAGTCCCCCTGCATACCATTTCAGAAAAGGTCGCCAAGAAGGCCAAGACAATTGGTTGATTTACATGGAGGGCGGCGGATGGTGTCATAGTATAGAGGAATGCAAATCTCGAACACTGGATCATAAGGGTTCATCCAAACATATGATGGAGAATATTCACATGTTTTTAGGTGGCATATTAAGCAGAAACCCAGGCATTAATCCTTCCGAATTTCGCAATTGGAACATTGTTATCATGAGATATTGCGATGGATCCTCCTTTACTGGGGATGTTGAACAACCGGTCGATAACCTCTACTTTAGAGGTAAAAGGATATTTGACGTGATAACAAATGAGCTGCTGGACAAGGGATTGAACGATGCTAAGGAGGTGTTTCTAACAGGGACTTCCGCTGGTGGTGTATCTGTAGTCTTGAATTGTGATCGTTTCCATAAACTCCTATCAAACACTACTACCAAATTCAAATGTTTGAGTGATGGTGGTTATGTTATCCATGCCAAAAATGACCCCAAACAAGCCCAAGGATTTGAATCAATGTTCAAGGATGTGGTTTCCTTACACAATTCTACTGGGATGCTACCTCACACATGCACTGAGAAGATGAAAGAGAAGCCATATCTTTGCATGTTCCCACAATACGTGGTGGAAGATATGGTGACACCAATTTTCATTTTAATGTTGCCATATGATGCATACCAGATTAATGTTACACTGGGTCATGAGGTTTACTTTGCCCTCCGCAAATCCTTTAAAGACCACGTAAAGTTGCCTACACCTATATATCAAGTCCTGAAAGGTTAGATCCAATAATACTCATCTCCTCATTACCTTCTTTATGTTCCTTTGCTGACTACGATTGGGTTATCTCCTTCTGGTCATCTGCTAACTAGGATCGAATTATTTCCTTTTATGATCATTTGCTTACTAGCATCAGGTTATTTTGTTCTGATTATTTGCGGACTTGATCACAAAACGGGCTTTCTTTAATGCCCAAGATAGAAACTCTTTTATTGAATAATGCATTTTCTATGTTTTCATGGTTTCAGATTTCAGATTGCAATTCTTGGATGCACTGCCGCCCTGCAAACCATCAAATGGAATGTTTATTAACAACTGTTTCGGTCATACAGAGATCGCTACCATTACTTGGAATATAGATGGTAACAAAATAAACAACGTGGTAAGAAACGCAAGAAAACATGTAACACATATTAAGTTTTTGCGTGAGACTTACACGATCTTTTAATATGCATATATATATGTATATGCAGATAGATGTACAAGCAATACGAGATTGGTACTTTGACCGAAAAGGAGTGAATTTAATTGAGAAGATAGACTTGATTAAGAATTGCACTGCAGATACATACTTGGCTTCTTAATGACTTGATGATATGGGTGGACAAGCTGAAGATCCTCGATCAATGAGAACAATTAATTTATGTTGTCTAGATAAATTGTGTTGTTGTGCCAAAAAAACCATATGACTACATATGATCATTTGTATTTTGTTCACGTACAATTACTAAATAAAATAAACACTTGATTTCCAATTCTTTTTTAAAATTTGTAAATTATATTATTATGAATATGTGGATTTATGAATTATTTATGCACAAAAAAAGTATGTAATAGTGTTCAATGCACTAACTTGATATAGTAATTGATTGATTAGCGAATTAGGTTTACCTAATAATTAATAATTAGGTCCTTTAATTAAGTCCGTGCAATATACAGACTAATGCTCATTCGGGGCAAAATACCTGTTGGCCATTCATATGCAATCATTATTGTGTAGACCATATTTTGTATACTGTAAATAATGTACATTCGGTACAAAAATAATGTACTTTTAGTATATTAAAAATGTACATTGTATTCAGGGGATGTACATTATTTGTGTACTGAGTGTACATTGTATTATATAATGTACATTACGTACAAAAATAATGTACATTTAGTATATTAAAAATGTAATTTTTGTTATGGTCCACTAACATTGTGTGGATCATGGTCCACCCAATAATTTGCCATTCATATGGGAAGTGGCGGAGGTTTAAAAGTTAGAAGTTAGAACCATTATATTGAATGCACCAATTAACTTGATATGGTAATTAATTGATTGGTTAATTAGTTAGGTTTATATATGGTTAATAATAAATTAATAATTAGGTCCAAAATGAGAAGAATAGCCGAGTAATTGTTGTTTTCTTCTTGTTCTTGGAGTGAGGCCAAAGACCTCACCTCATTAAGAACAATTTTAATTTCATCAAGAAATCAAGTATTTAGATCGAATAAGCAAATACTCAAAAACTACGTGCTGCAAATTTAATTTTCTTTCACATGCAATAGACCTTAGCTTGCACCAGAAGATCACATCAGAGAAATTGAACCAATATAATATAATGCTCTGTTACACTCGTTGAAGCTCTAGAGGAAGAGCCAAAAGTCCCTTACTTAGGCGTCTTGTAGGGAATTTATAGGGAATAGGAGGGGATACATGCTGAGGGGTCGGCATGTGTGTCACGTGCCCTCCATGCACTCGGTAATCTCGTCGGCCAAAGAGAAACGTGCATGCGTAAGAATATATCTTAGGGGCGGACCTACAGTGGGGGCAGGTGCCCCCACTCACCCCACCCCCACCCCATATATAACCCTTGTATGTATATGTGTATGTATATATAGTACACGATTTAGTATAAGTAATAGAAAACAGCCAAAGTTAACAAAATGATAGTTAACTCAGATGGTAGAGCATACGCCTGTTCCTAAGGGCATCCCCAATAGGGGTTCTTTCCCTAATTTTGGAACAGTAAAATCTATATGTTTAACGTTTTAACAAATGGAAAACAAAAAAAACACACCACATTTTTCTCCTGAAAAAAAAAAATAAAATTTGTCAGACGCGCCCGCCAAGGCGTTTCAGTGTGGCTGCCAACTGGCGGCCACTTTGAAATTAAGTGATTTTTGGATTGGCAACGGCCTTCTGGTCGTTGCCAATTAATTAATTTTTTTTTTTTTTTGTTTTTATTGTTATGATTTTACATATTAATAATATGATTTTTTGCTATAATCATGATTTTTATATATGATTTTTGCAATTAATAATTATGATTTTATTTGCTATAAATAACAATCTTTCATAATTTTTAACACTTTTTATTTGTAATTTTTACGTATGCTAATTTACATATTATTTTTACGTATCATTTATGTTTATCTCTAAAATTATAAATTTATAAATGAAATAAATAAAGAAATAATTAAAGTATGGAGATAAAATGGTGGGTCCACAAAAAGTTGTGAAAAAACTTAAAACTAATGGGAAGAAGAGATTTTGTGATTGAGTGAGATAGTGGATGATGAGTTGGATCTTGGGGCCCACAAAAATTAGGGGTAAAATCCCCAACTATTGAGGATGCCCTAAGGAAGGGTAGGGGTTCGAAACCATCTTTTGACATGAACGCGTGTTTTAAGCAAATTATTTGAAGAATTGTTGCTCAACAGTCTTGAACGCATATTTTAATCCAATTTGAATAATCCTTTCAAAAAAAAAAAAAAAAACCTATTTGAATAATAGTGACTTCTTCTCTATTTTATTTTTATTTTCTTTTTAATATTAATAGTGTGATGAGTAATTTATAATGTGTTTTCCATTCGAACTATTTTATCTCATTAATTATGTTTTATATTTTGTTTTAAATATTTGAATAATAGTGACTTCTTCTCTATTTTATTTTTATTTTTACTTTTTAATATTAATATTGTGATGAATAATTTATAATGTGTTTTCCATTCGAACTACTTTATCTAATTATCTATGTTTTATATTTTGTTTTAAATATTTTTTATTATGATGTATTATGGCTAGGTAAGTATTTTATTTTTTTATTTTTCAAAATATCTCGTTAGAAAATTCTCGCCCCCACCGGAGAAGATTTCTGGGTCCGCCACTGTATCTAACTAGTCAATCGCCCCCCTCCATCGGGGACTATGATGCACTAGTTGAGGTTGGGTCTTTCTCGGTGTCATCATATGACACTGTCATAGAAGAGGTCGAGCAATTTACCGAGGTTGGGGATGACGATCCAAGCGCACCAACTGCCGAGCAACCAAATGGACCGACTGTGGTCAACCATCTCTGCCCGGGTAACTTCCGACCATACTCCTAGCTTTCTTGATGCAGTTGTACCCCATCCCTCTCCCGCTCCTTCTTTTCATATTCAGGCCCCTACTCTCATGAGCAGGCCAGGAGACACAAATTTGTAAACTCTGAGCAAGTAGAGCCTATGAGGCCCTTTTAATAATTGCCGAGCTTTAGGACTTGAAAACCCTCCTCTATGGTCGGGCCACGTACGACGCTCACCGTAGTTTCGGATCGATTATCGGCCTTCACCAAGGGAAATTGGATTGGTTACACCTCGATTCTATAAAAGCCCCGATCGCTCTTCCTTTCAGCCCCTTTTTGGCAACTTTCATCCAACGTAACACTGGGGTCGTGCCTGGGAAGATCTGTCCAAATTCCTATAGAATCCTAGCTTGCTTTCCTCAAATATGTGTTCGGCACAACATGCCCTATACTTTAGAGCTTTTCCATTTTTTTTTGGTCCGAGCCCTTCCACTGAAGCATGGTGGGGGCTTTATAATAATCCAATCTAAGGGACCAACCTACAACATCACTTATCTCCAGTCGTTATATTATAGACCGCGGTGCATGTGCACCGTGGTAAAAAACGACGTCGTTGCCGTTAGAGTTAACGGAGTCCGTTTGTTTGGTGTATTAAACACCAACTGACACTACAGTATATCCAAACCGACACTGCAGTTATATCAAAATGATACTGTAGTTATATTGAAATGAAACTGCAGTGTATATAAACTGAAACTGAATAACATTTCACATATTTGAGTGTATACTGTACAATGAAGCTGTAATTATATCAAAATGATCATGTAGTTGTGTTTTAATAAAACTATAGTGTATATAAAATAAAATTAAATAACATTTTCACATATTTGAGTCTATAAATATCGAATGAAACTATAGTTATATCAAAATGAAACTGTAGTTGTGTTCAACTGAAACTGCAGTGTATACAAAATGACACTGAATAACAGAGTTACTTTTTGCAAAAGGGTGCGAAACGGCGGAAATAAACACTATTAATTTTCATTTAAAAAAAAAAAGACGCGCGGTGCATAATATAATTTGCCACTTATCTCCCCGACAACAATAAACAGTGGAAACACCGCTTTTTCTCGCTGAATTGAAGTATAAGTGGCAGCTACCGGTCCCAAACATCTAGAGTTCCCAGTTTCACTAACATGTCTATCCGGCCTTGACCCCTACCTTGGAGGCCCACGTGAAGCCGGGTGATATTTCCGAGGAGGAGGAATCCTGACGTGAGATTCGTGGATACGCAGAAGGGAAAATGTCTTTGTCTTTGGCGAGATTGGCTTCTGGGTATCTCGCCCTTTCCCTAGGCGAGGAAGTGTTTTCCATTAATTTCGCGCAGGAGCCGGAGTAAATACGGTAATCCACCGTATTTACTCCACCTACAGTATTTATTGCATCCTCTTTTTTAAAAAAAAAATTATGAAAATTGCATTGAGATGTTCCATCCAGCAAGCTGATCGACACAAGTTCCCAATGTACACACATTCCAGCCATCATAAATAATACTCTATATTATGGTACTTTCATATGCACGAATTCCATAAGTCTTTTTCAAATCATTTGAGCCAAACTTTCATCTCCCTTTCCTCCTTCTTCATCTTCTCAAAATTTCTTTTTATCCATTTATTATTATTATTATTATTATGGTCCCTCCCTTATATCTCAAGAAATTCATTGAACATTGTGTTCGTAAATTTGTTGATATATTTGTAGTTTTGACTTCATCTTGGTGGGACAGATTTACTACGAAGACAGCGATTAGTGGAGTACAGAAACAAAAGTCAAGTCAGTGTAGACCATAGTATTATATTTTGGAGGTAATAATACATGTTATTTAATTTTTATTTGTTTAAAACGTGAGGATTGCTTATGCATTATTATTTTTATTTGTTTACAAGTATTGTATAGACTGTGGAGTAGTTATGTATTGAGGTTGTGAAGTGTAAATCGTAGGTTTAAGATGTTATAAAAAGTTAATCTTTTTAATCTTTAAATTTACAGATTAAAACCAGGACTATGTGGTCTAATGGTATCTGGGGTGGACTTCCAAGTGGAAGGTTGTGATTTCGAGCCTCAGTGGAGGCGTTATTGGCTCTTTGTGTTTCAGTAGGTTGAGAAAGTATATGAACAGATACTACAAATTTACAGATTAAAAAGTGTAGTGCTCTCGTCAAAAAAAAAAAAAAAAAATGTTAGTGCTATGAATCCAGGAAATTTG